TCGCCCCAGGGGGTGGCTTCTTGCTTTCTCTCTCTGTCTCCCTTTGTGTCTCTGGCGAGCACATGTGTCCTATAGAACAAATCTCAACACAGGACCAGCAGATGGCATAATGGTTACATTACTGGACTCCCACATAGTAGACCATGGTTCAACTCCCAGATCCGCAGCTTAAAACTCATGCCAGGCATGTGTGTGTGCATGTCCAAAATCCCAAGAGGAGAATAGAACAGAAGGGATTATGGTGTGGTCATTCCCCCTGGGGGGAGTGATTTCTTGCTTCCTGTCTCTCTGACTCTGTCTCTCCGGCAAGTGATACATGCCCTGTAACAAAATCTCGTTAAAAAAAAAAAGTACAGAAAAAAATTATTAAAAAACTATGCAGCGCGGAACCAGCAGTTAGCGCGTAATGGCTATGTCGCTGGAATCCCACATAGTCGACCGCGGTTCGCGTCCTGGACCCGGTGGCTTAAAACTCACTCCGGGCGCACGTGCGTGCCCAAGATCCCGAGAGGAGAATGGAGGAGAAGGGATTGTGGCGTGGCCATCCTCCCTGGGGGGTGATTTCTCGCTTTCTGTCTCTCTCTCTCTCTGTCTGGCAAGCGCACGCACCCTATAGTGAAAAACATCTCAAAGAAAAAAAAAAAAAACTATGCAGCGGGGGACCAGCAGTTAGGGTAATGGCTATATGGCTATGTCACTGGACTCCCATGTAATCGACCGTGGTTCAAGTCCCGGACCCAGTCGCTTAAAAAACTCACACCGGGCGCATGTGCGTGCATGCCCAAGATCCTGAGAGGAGAATGTAGGAGAAGGGATTGCGGCGTGGCCATCCCCCCGGGGGGTAATTTCTCACTTTCTGTCTCTGTCTCTGTCTGTCTGGCGAGCGCACGCGCACCTATAGCAAAAACCTCTCAAAAAAAAAAAAAAAAAAGAGAATGGTCAATTTAATGGATTTACAACTCTCTGTCTCTCTCTGTCTTTCTGGCGAGCATACACACCCTATAGCAAAAACCTCTCCAAAAAAAAATTAAAAACTACGCAGCAGGGCCAGCAGATGGTGTGGTGGTTAAGCTATTGGACTCCCACATGGCCAACCATGGGTCAAATCCTGGAACTGGAGACTTGCTTTCAATTTCCATCTCTCTCTGATCAAAATAGAATGAAAAATAATAATAATAAATAAAAATTTAAATAAAATAATTTTTTAAAATTATGCAGCAACTTTAGGCTAGTGAGAAGATAATCACAATTCACAAAACTTTACACACATTATATATATATATATATGTGTGTGTGTGTGTGTAATAATCACAACCATGGAATAGAGGTATAAGAGACTGGAAGACAATGCACCAAAATTCTAGTAATCGTTTTATTGAGGAAGTTAAGATAAAGGGATTGAATTTGATTATCCTCATACTGCATAATTTTTTTTAATTGCCAGAGGGCATATGTGCTCACCAGAAAGAGATAAGACGAGGTTAAAGCATTCCCCACCAGGGCAGTCACACCGCGGTCCCTCCTCCATTTCTCCACACCGTCGGGATTTGGGGCACGCATGCGTATGTACTTGGTACGTTTTTCAAGCCACAGGGGCTGAGATTTGAACCATGCAGTGGGCCATATGGGAGCCTGCTTCCTTAAACACTAGGCTATGGGACCAGCCTCCATCATTCCTTTTTATTAATAAAAAATACATATTACTTTTATTATCAGAAACTTTTTTTGTTTTCAGAGTTTTGCTATAGAACACATGTGCTCACCAGAGACAGAAAGTCAGAAAGTGAGAAATCACCCCCCAGGGAAGATGGCCACGCCGCAATCCCTTCTCCTCTTGGGATTTTGGGCATGTACGCACAAGTACCCAGCATGAGTTTCAAATGACCAGGTCCAGGACTCAAACCACAGTTGACTACGTGGGAGTCCAGCAATGTAATCATGATGCCATCGCTGGTTCCCCAGAAGTTCTTTTTTAAAACCACACATGACACCGGTTTGGTCACTACTCTCTATCTAGGTAGGGTGAACTTTACCGAGCACCCTGTTCACTTGTGGAAGTGCTATGTTTCTGACCAAGGATGCTGTAATGGAGCGCTGAGTCTAATTTATATCCAAATTAGGTAAAGTAGAGGAAAAAAGTTTTCATGCTTTGCACAAAGAAAATACTTCAACCAATCCACAGCTCTCTTGAAGTGTGATCCTCTCCTGCCTACCCCACCCCCTTGCAATCGCTGACTCAAAAACACCGTGGCATGGAGGCCAGCAGGACCCCATGAGGTCCACCATGACGGAGTCCTGTCCCCAGCAGCTTGAAAATCATGCCAGGCATGTGTGCATGCATGCCCAAAATCCCGAGAGGAGAATGAACTGCAGCGTGGCCATCTCCCCAGGGGGTGACTTCTCACTTTCCCTTTCTGTCCCTCTCTGTCCATCTCCAACAAGTGCACGTGCCCTATGGCAAAAAAACAAACAAACAAAAAACCCCTGTGACTCAGCAGTGCCAAACCCTGTCCTAAGTGGTTTTCTAACTCAAATGTATGAGGCTCGCCTCGTGCCTGGCTCTCCTGCAATCACATTAAATGATTAACTCCTTTAACTCTGACTCTGACCCCTGGAGGTAGCACTCTCCACCTCCACCCCCCACACACAGGGGCACGTGCTTACTGTAGAGAAACAGACAGAGGGAAACTGAGATGGGGGTGCACTGCAATCCCTTCTCCTCCATTCTCCTCTCAGGATTTTGGACACGCATGCACACACATGCACCCAGTATGGTTTACAAGCTGCCAGGTCTGGAACTTGAAAGATAGTGGACCATGTGGGAATCCAGTGCCTTAACCACCATGACGGTCCATCAGTCTCCCCTTTTACAAGACAAAAAGCGTTGAGGATGAGGGAGAAGAGGGATTGGGAATCTAGCCTACCCCTATTCTTCTTTACTCTCCCCTTCTTGCAGCCTGCCCTATGAGCGGGTCAGTGTGGCCCAGCCCTGCAGCAGTCAAAATTCTTACCTTTGCTCGTTAACCCCTGGAGAAGGCTCAGAGGCGAGGCAGAGTCTACCCCACAGCCTGGTCAGACAATCAAAAAGCGTGAGCCCCTATTCCTGAGGAAGAGATGCTGCCCTGCTCTTAAGACCAAGAATGTTGACAGGGGGCCAGCAGATGGCGTAATGGATATGTCACTAGACTCCCACATAGTTGACCGCGGTTTGAGTCCCGGACTCAGTGGCTTAAAACTCAAGCGAGGGGGGGCCAACAGGTGGTGTGGTGGTTAAGGTGGCTGGGCTACCACATAGGTAACTGTGGTTTGAGTCCCAGACCTGGCAGCTTGCTTTCTCACTTTCCTTCTCTCTCTCTGCCTCTCTCTGAGCAACATCAGTAAACTAACATAATGACAAGGAATAAAATTAAATACAATAATTCTTTAAAAAAAAAAAAAAAAAACTCAACCCAGGTACATGCGCGTGCATGCCCAAATTCCCGAGAGGAGAATGGAGGAGAAGGGATTGTGGCATGGCCATTCCCCTGGGGGGTGATTTCTTGCTTTCTGTCTCTGTCTCTCTTTAGCTCTCTGGCAAGTGCACGCGCCCTATAGCAAAGATCTCACTAAAAAAAATAATAATAATAATTAATGTTGACTATTGCAGGGATATCTCTGTCAGATAAATCTGGCAAGTTGGGCAGAGGAAAAACAGGTATTTTAGCATAGCTCGTCCATTCTCTGTTTGCTCAATTATGAATGCAGGTAACTTCAGTGGCAAATACAGTATTCATAGCTCAAGTTTAGACTACATGAGAACAGAGTTTTAATCCATCTGTAATGAGTTCTCCCTTGCTATCATGGGGGATTGGTTCCAGGACCCTGGAGGATACTAAAATCCTGAGGAATGCCCCAGTTCATTACATAAACGGCACAGCGTTTGCACAGGACCTGCACACACCTTCCTGTGCGGCTTAAATCACCTCATCTCTAGATTAATTATGACACCTAGAACAGTGTCAATTCTATGGAAATAGTTACTATGCTGTACTGGTTTTCCTTTTTTTTTTTTTTTTTTTTTTTTAAGAATTACTTTATTTGGGACCAGCAGTGGGCGTAATGGCTATGTCGCTGGACTTCCATGTAGTTGACCGCAGTTTGAGTCCCAGACCCGGTGGCTTAAACTCACGCTAGGTGCATGTGTGTGCGTGCCCAAGATCCCAAGAGGAGAATGGAGGAGAAGGGATTGCGGTGTGTCCATCCCCCCTGGGGGGGTGATTTCTCGCTTTCTGTCTCTCTGTCTTTCTGGTGAGCACACGCGCCCTATAGCAAAAACCTCTCAAAAAAAAAAAAAAAAAAGAATTACTTTATTTAACTTTATTTATTTATTCTAATTTGACCAGAGAGGTTCAGAGCAAGAAAGAGAGAGAGAGACAAAGCGAGAAAGCAAGTTGCCAGTCCAGGACTCAAACTGTGTCAGCCATGTGGGAGCCCAGTGCCCTTAACCACACCACCTGCTGACCGCCTGTATCGATTTTCTATTTATATCATTTTTATTGCCACATTGCAATTTGTTCCAAAATATTTTTAATTCACCGCTGGTTGAATCCGCAGATGTGGGCTGACTGGACCCATATGTTGAATGAAAATATGGAAAAAGCACTACCCTGGGACACGGCAAAGGTGTTCAGAACCCACCCATAACTACCTGCTTGTCAGATGTTTTTTTTTTTTTAAGATTTTTGCCATAGGGTGCATGCACTTGATGGGGGTGGAGGGGAAGGACAAGAAATCATCCCCCAGAGGGATGGCCATGCTGCAATCCCTTCTCAGATGTTGGGCACACACACACACACATCCAGCCACCAGGTCTGGAACTTGAACCATGGCTGGCCATGAGGGAGTCCAGAGCCATAACCGCCACTCCACCTGCTGGCCCAGATGTGTGCTATTCATTACAGTTACCACAGGCCACCGCTTGGGGGCCTCTCCGTACAGTGGACAATGAAGGCCATACTTACATCGGCCCAGACTTTCCAGGCTTCTCTTGCTTTCTTTACGGTCTCTTCATAGTCCACCATACTGGCCTATATTAAACATTACGGGGAGGAAAAGGGGAAAAGGAAAGAGAGTGATGACCCTTGCAGAACACAAATACTTTTGGAAAAGAACTGGTAAATCTCTGAGCATCCTTAAGATTTACGATTGAGAATGATTTCCACAATCTACACTTCTAAAAATCGACTTGAACCAAGCAAGACAGGTAAGAATCCAGAATTTTAAAACCTTGCTTTTCAAAGCAAAGGCCATTAGAAGCCTTACTCGGGAACACCTGAGACATCTTAGAATTACAGAACTCAGACTCCAGTCTGAACTTAAGGCCTCAGAAACTTCATTCTAACAAGTCCTCAACCCCCTCTAATCTCTGTGGCTGTCCTTCCCTAGGGCACACCACCACCCAGAACAGACAACTTCCCTCAGACATTCTCCAGTATCAGAGGGAAAACAGGCCCCTTACTCCTTACATTTGTAATTTCACATTGTTCTTGACCTGCCCTACAGGCTTCTGCCTCTAAAGAAAGCTCACCAAGTTTTAAAACTTACTTTTAAAACTTACCTGTCGAACTCTCGCTATTGGTTCATTGTTAGCAGGACAATAGGTCGTAATAACCTTAAAACAAAAAGATGAGCATCATATATAGAAAAGTTATCCCTTCCAAATTAAGAGAACAGACCAAAGGGGGTGGGGGAGACAAAGGAAAATAAGACTTACATAATGTCCGAACTCAGAACTTTTAAGTTCACTTCTGTTACAAATAAGCCACTCTACAGAAGTGGAGTCTGTCTGGTTTTCTCCTCCTTATAGAGATCTTTGACGTCTTTGGTAAGGCTTATTCCTAGAGTCTTTCGTTTCTGACCTAAACATTAGGAACCACCTTTCTGCAAAATATTCCACCTAAACATCCTAACAAATATATGAACTGGGTCAACACAAACTGCAGAGCTCAGGTCAACTAGAAAGAGCAAATCAGGGGACAGTAAGTTATGTGATGGTTAAGGTGCTGGGTCCCACACAACCAACTCTGGGGTTCAAGTCCTGAACCCGGCAGCTTGAAAAAGACGCCCAGCATCTGTGCACGTGTGTGTGTGTGTGTGTGTGTGTGTGTGTGTGTGTCCCCAAAATCCCCAGAAGAGAATAAAGAAGGGATCATGGGGGCTGGCAGGTGGCATGGTGGATGAGGCGCTGGATTCCCACATGGCTGACTAAGGTTCCAGTCCCAGACCTGGTAGCTTGCTTTCTCACTCTCTCCTTCTCTGTTTCTCTCTGGTCAAATTGAAGGCTGTTAATAGTAAATAAAATAAAGTAAATAATTAAAAAAAAAAAAAAAAAAGAAGGGATCATTGTATGGGCAGTCCCCCTGGGGAGTGCTCTCTCACTTCCCCTCTGTGTTTCTGTCTGTCTCAGAATAGTAAACACCTTATGAAAAAAAAAAAAATCGAAAAAATCTGAAAGAGAAAAATCAAAGTTTGGCTACAAAAGCCTTTAGGAGAGGGTCTTTTTAGAGTCTAATCATTAAAAATGCCACGAGGTAAATGGGGTAGAAATACCAATTAAAATTGGCATTTTAATTGGCACAATTCATATTGATTAAACAATTGAACAATTAAAAGTCACTCAAATTTTCTTCTAAAAGCTGCCATTTCTATGCGACTTCCTAAAAGTAAGATTACCTTTCTTTCCCTGTGTATTCGTCAAGACATTTTAGCGAGCGCCAGGCATGCTGTTAAGCTCTGGCCAACGGAGAAACGCTGAAAATCCCGACAGGATTTCAGCAAGTCGGAGCATGCAAACTCCAAAGGGTTTTGGAAGGCAGAGGGACTAAAACTACACGGCGGAACGTTACCTGCGGCGCACGCCACATCTGCAGAGCCACCGTCGAGCTCAAAATTAGGATCAGCCGCACGGCTAAGCGGGTGACTTTTCTCACTACAAACCCCGAGACCAGTGGGCCTAAAATTCCAAGTATGTGTGGGCAGTGTGGCCCCCTGCCAGCTCCAAAATGACTTCGAAACGCCTTAGCACACGCAAAGACCTAAAATCTGTTTTTCTTTTAAAGGCACCTTCCATGAGAAAACTTTTACAGGGCAGCGCCACAACTTCCCATCTGGTCCACCCGCCCGCGGCGCCAGCGGCGACTCGTGCAGAGCCCTACCCGCCCGGCCTCCCGGGGCGAGCCCAGGCTGCAGAGATTTCCCGGGCGCCCGCCTACCTCTCCCCGGCCGCCCCAGCTTCCATTATACACGCCCTCGTTTTCCTCGCGGAGCCCCAGCTCTTTCAGCCAAGCGTACTGGGGCTGATTGATCAGCAGAGTGGACATGAAGGCGGCAGGCCTGTTCCAAGGTCCCGGGAGCTGGCTGGTCTTTGCGGCGTGCACACAGATCGCTCGGGGCAGCCGCCACATACTGAGCCCTGGGCCTGCGCTGGGCCTGCGAGGGGGGCAGCGGCTGAAATAGAGCCCCGCCCCCCGCCCGGGAGAGCCCATTGGACAGGTCCGGCCCCGCCCTCGGACACGCCCCCTGCCACCGCCCGGCCCAAGCCCCGAGGAGCAAGGAGTTTTAACCTGGTCTGGACCAATCGGGGGCCGCAGGGTGGCAGCGAGAGGGCTACTGCCATCTGCTGCAAGGCGCGGGGCACCGCGGCACCGGCTAGGAAATCCTTTCTCCACGCATGGAGTCACCCGGCCATCGTGTTAAATGCACATTCTGATTCAGTGGGACGGATCTGGAGTCTAAAAAGCTACATTTCTTTTCTTTCCTTTTCTTTTAAGAATTATTTATTTAACTTTATTTTATTTATTTGTTATTTTTTAAATTTGACCAGAGAGGGGGACCAGCAGTTGGTGTAATGGCTATGCTGCTCGACTCCCATGTAGTCGACTGCAGTTCAAGTCCCCAACCGGTGGCTTAATTCATGCCTGGTGAGTGTGCGTGC